TAGGGAGTGTGATCGTCTAGATGTTGACTGGAGCCTGTAACAGTGACTGTGGCTGCATTTGTACACTACCTAGGGGACTATTAGGGTGAAAGACATCCAGGTTATTTATTTTTGTTGCTTTAAGTGTGTGGTGTGAGAGCGAGCATAGGACAGAGAGCAAAGAGCGGAAGAGGGACAGACAAGGTTGTCTGGTTCTGTTTGTTACAGCTAGCATGCCCTTGCTGAAATGAAAAGAGAGGTTCACGCAGGAATAATGTAATTATGCGAATAATTTAGTAAGAAAAATCAAAATCAGCCAAGCATTGTATATTTCAGTGTGGGTGTTAAGTGTTATTAAACTAGGCGCTAAGAGCAGATGTGGCAGGAACAAAGCATAAACCGAACAGAGCCAAGTTGGGAGCCTGTAGGCTGATTTTTGAATCCCACATGTTTATGTAAACCCAAAATCAGGTGACACCAGTGGAAGAAGGCCAGAAAGTCACCAATGTATAGACCTATCCTAACAGTAAACATGGCTCTATCTAAATATAACAGAATATTCCAATAATTATCTTTGAACTTTCATAATAACACTGAATGTCCATTTGGTTATTTTATATATTAAGTATTTTCACACAAACTGTAAAAAACAAATGAAAACCATGTTTGTCTGTTTTTTAAAGCCACCTGCGGGGAACTTTCAGTTTGTGGCAATTTGTGCACCCCTTCTGGACAAAGTAGTCTTTACTTGTCATATACATGCTTACTTTCACAGTCTTCAACTAAACCTACTTACTTTTGGCAGTGAACTGTATTTATTGTCAATACTTAGAGTGGAAATAGTAAAAACAGAGCTGTGTCTTCAGCTTCTAAGCTTCTTCAGCTTCCTTTTACAGGCTTTCGAGCATTAAAAAATAAGGATATAAAATCCTCTATCATGTTGCTTGTGGTTGTGTTTGCTTTTAAATCGCATTAAAAGACATTGAGTTTTAGCTTTTTTTCCTGAATGCCAAAAAACTCCTCACTGGAGCTTTAATTAGTTTTGACAGCTCATTGGCTAGTGTGTTAAGCTGACTAGCTCTGCCAATTGACATGCCAGTGACTGTCCCACTTTTCCCTCAAATATTACTCAGCTATCAGGGCATTTGAACCATAGACGTGTGTATATGACTAAAATAAGGTCATCTATTTGTTTATTAATGTCAGATTTTAAGACTATCAGCATTTAGCATGCCTAAATCAGTGGTTCTCAAGTCCAGTCCTCGAGCGCCCCCTCATCCTGCATGTTTTGGATGTTTCCCTGCTCCAACACACCTGATTCAAATGATCAGCTCGTTATCAAGCTCTGGAATGGCTTACTAACGAGCTAATCATTTGAATCAGGTGTGTTGGAGCAGGGAAACATCCAAAACATGCAGGACAGGAGGGGGCGCTCGAGGACTGGACTTGAGAACCACTGATATAGTCAATCACCAGTCAGCTAGGTGTTATTGTATTTGTTGAACAGAGTGAATAAAGAAGAATTTTAACCCAAGAATTATAATTGCTAAATTGTTAAATCATCTCCAAATCATCCCGTATTGTTTTATCTTTTTGCAGCCATTTTTTTTTCATTTGTGCTTTTCAATTTGAGCAACAGTTGACAAGTTACATGATTAATCTGCCATTTCTCCCAGCTGATCCTTCGCATGCTCGGCTCTTAAACCTCTGACAGAAAACTTTATGTTTTGAACACCAGGACAAAACAGGCCTGACAGAAGCTGTTAGCTTTGTTTTTGCCCATAAGCTACAGAGACAGCCGAGGCCTGTACAGCCTGTAGGTACGAGACACCACAGCTCCACCTGATGTGACACCCTACAGTAGAAGTGACGCCCTACATTTCCCCGTCATCCTGTTGCTGTGAACTTGTGACAAAATTGAAAAGCAAGCCAAAATGAACACAATGCTACACAGTATTTGTTTCAGGTTAAAAATGAAGATGCTGAGATTGCATGACAGCGTGTCAGTGAGCTTATGTGATTGGGCACCGGCTGAAGAAAACCCAGGCCAGGAATTTTCAGGTTGAACATAGAGACCTAATTTCTCTGTCAGTGAAGCATGGGCAACAGGGCGCAGACTGAGGGATCTCCGAGCCGTGTGAAAAATGCCACTGATCATCACGCTCAAGCATTTTTTTTTTCTTTCTGTCATGGCTGTCGCCGGCGAGCAAAGCAGAGCCCAGAAGTCTCCATCATCAGCCTCGGACCCCGGGGACAGGAGAAATCACATTATATCTGCTGTCACACAAAGTCACTGTCAAGGTGTGGTGGAAGAGAGCGCACGGCGGCTTCTGGTGCGATGCTGGAGACCCAGAAATACCTCTGACGTCTCATCTCAGCCCCTGGCTAAAACCAAGCTGCAATTCTAACAAGTGAGACACATTTCACAGTGATTTAAGGTCGAGAAACACCTCTCTCGTCTCGTTTGTACTTACAAAACCCCTGTGTCTTAAATTTTTGGAGTGCCAAGGTGATGGCGAAGTGTAAAGAGTTCAGCAGAAGGGATATGCAATTTAGTTAACCTTGTGTTCACTTCAGGCACTTCATCACAATTTGATAAAGAGGGTTTCATTTTAACACTGGCTCGCCCCCTCCAGGTTTTCTAATAAGAGGAACTGCCTATCAAACCTGCGCTTAGGATGATGAAACTGCAGTGCAATAGTGTACAGAGAGGTGTAGAGCAGAGCTATGTGCATCAGTGTGCTTGTTCAGCACACACTCCCTCCCTGTGCACACACACATTCTGCTCTGCTGACCATGTTGTGTTGATGGACTTCCAGAGGGACAGTGTCTCAGGAGGAACGGTTGCTGCCCAGTGCTAGACCAAAAAAGAAAAAAAAGTGGAGTATTGTGCTGCCATGCTGGAGATAGAATTAAACACAAGCACACACACAAAGCTCTAGAGGAATGTGGTGTCACTTCACTCATTCAGCCATGTCTGTGAATCAATTTATCACTTTTTTTATCAGTCACTTCAAGCTGCCGTATATGTAATCTCTGCTCACTCGCTGTGGATTCGAATAATGCTTGCTTCTTTTTTCTGTAGTGAGTGCAGCCGGAGAGAAAAAAACAAGAGGGAGAAAGAGAAAAATAGAAGAAAAGAGTAGAATAGAGAGAAAAAAAGAAAGCTGTTTTTGTTGGCTGACTGTGGCGCAGTTACTTCTCCTCCCAACTGCAAACTAAAGAATATCCAGTAGTTAAGGATGAGTTTGTCATTGTTTAAGGCCCTTTAGGGATTGCATCTCATAAACCTTTCATAGAGTGTTTCCAGCGAATGTGTGGCAATTTTTAATTCCAAAGTCTTTGACTCTCAGGAGAAAACTCGAGACACTGGAACTCTACTGTATCTATGCCCGCCATCCCTATTCCCAGGGAACTTAAAAAGCACACTCTTTGTTATTCATGATCACTGTAACTTTCCACGGCTTGTTTGCCTTTCTCCTCCAATTTATGTGTTTGAGTCGTTACTCATTCAGCGCAGCGTGCTGGTTACAGATGTTAATGACAGATCGGTTCTGTTTGTTATTCAGTACATTAACATCCAACAGTGACTGGCGGCCCCGACACGCCCCAGACCTCTGGCTCTCTTGAGCTCCCGCACCATCGCACACCCACCCCTCCAGCCCACCTTGCTCCCCCTCGCCACCGGAGTGGAATCAGCAAAAGTAGACCCCCAATCCCTCAGAGAGGCCAAGTCTATTTCATGTCAAGAATAGCAAATGGGGTAGCGTATGTTAAAAAGTTTGGTATGCACTTTTCTTACCCTTTAAAAGAAGTAGGCTGCACACGTGCACCAAAGAGGACCATTTTATACTGTTTACCTCGACTGCTGATGAATACAGTCTGCATATGGCTTTTGTTCAACACATTATAAAACACCCAGGCTTATTCCCTATGTCTAACAGGAAATATATATACCCATTAACTAGGAAAAAAACAATTTGTGCTTTCATACATTTGTTCTGCTTCAGTTCCCGGAAATGCGTTTACATGCTGAAATATTATTAGAACCAGGACATACGTACAGTAATTGTAAGGTGATAGATTAGCACCCAGGATAAAGAAGATGTAGCTTATTTTTCTGTGTGTTAAAATGAGGTAGCATTGCATTATCCATCTAAGTTAAGTTAATTTGATCAGGGGCCACCATGTTTTAACATACTCTTTAGTCACACTGGTAAACACATTCGTAGCAGCCACTTACATACCCACCATAGGGCGCTATTTGTAAAATTGAGCATAGAAAAGTGAATGCCGTGGGGTATATAATAGTGAAAAGGCACTATAGAGACATTGCCCTGTGCATGTGATGCTTTTCTCATCTCTGTGTTAAATGGATGAGCGTGATTAGCCGCTGCTCATTATGACCTGGATGGTGGAGAGTGAGTTGGGCCCAGCAAATCTGGCCTCATTTCCCTTCATGTTCCTGCAAATTAAACAGATCCTATGCAGCACTGAAAGCTCAAAGCTTGGCCTTGGTTTTCATCTGATGAAATGCTACATCTGTTATGGGAAATAGGATGTGTGTATTAAGTGTGTGTGTGTGTCCGGAAGAGGAGGAGGCAATGGAGAGAGTGGGAGAAAGAAAGATAGAGAAAAGGGGATAGAGTAGGTAAATAGATCAATACACCCCACTTCACTGTGGGCCGACTGACAGAATAAGTGAGAGAGAAGGTGAGAAATTATGAAGATCATAGCACTGTAAATTCTTCTTGTCTTCTCCACCCAGTGCACAGAGTTTCTCTGTATGCACCTGGAACAATCGTAGATCATGGGATCAGTCCGATATAGTGATCCATTTCTGCACATTCAAGGGGAAGCAGGATCTCTTAGCTCCAACATGAGAGTGCCGAGCACCCCTGGGCTCCTTGGGGGCAGATGATGTATGAAGTGGCTCCTCTGTTTATGGGTGAACTGTAACAGAAGAGAGAAGTGGAGAGAGAGAGAGAGAAAGAGAGGAAAGAAATTGAAAGAGTACTCCTATGGCGCTGCATGAGCAAAATGAGGTGTTTATTTTCAGCCTCTGCACAGTGGTCACACCAGCCCACATGGGGCATTTTTCACACTACATGTACAGCACTGTCTACGCTCCGCAGCCTCCACCCACAGCCCGAGCAGATGATGGCGTACCAGGCGCCGCGGATGATGCAAAACCTATTTTGGACTTGTAGTTTGGTGACGAGGTCCCCTTTTACCGCACGGCTTTTTGCTGAACAGGCGCTTCTGGGCCTCTAACTCTTTATCTCACATGTTTTGAATAGAGGTGAACCAGTGTAGCACACTTACATGCAGAGGCAATGACAGACATTTATCAAGTGGAGTATTGAGTGTCGCAAGGGAAGTGCTGATGTGGGATCACTGACGATGTCCTTTTCACATCCTCATTCATAATAAAGAAGGCAAAGCTTTTCTAGCTCAGCACTCTCACTTTGGGTGAAGATGCACTGATACAGGCCAGCAAGTGTTTAACAGGTCCATCCATTGTGAAGTCTTCTGTTGCTATATTTAAAGATGCAATGAGTCGTAATTAAGAGCAGACAAAGTAGTAACACCCATTTTTATCTTTAGTGTACAGCCAAAGACAAAGAAGACCAGATACGCTGTTGTGAAGAATTTGTATTGAGGAAAACTGGCAAAAAAAACAGTCCTGCGTGATAATTTCATTTTGGTCAATAAAGTCCACAATGACCAGGTTCTGTGGAACTTTTGGTGGTACTTTCTGTTACTCAGGGGGACCATATTCTGACTTCCCAAAAAGAGGATACGACTATGCGGGGGCGGAATCACAGAGTCGCACAAAGTTAATTTTGAGTTTTTCGGTCGGATCAAGTGTCTTGTATGCGCTTCTAACTGAGAGAATCTACGTGACACAAACTCGAAAGCTACAAAACTGCTGACATTTAAAGCATTTCATAGACTTCCCCGGACAGCCCCCAAAAAAGAGGACATGTCCAGGTAAAAGAGGACGTATGGTCACCCACGTATGGTTACTGAAATATGGAGTTTAAAAGCCGTTCCTGTGGCTGTGAGGTACAGACCAATTCAATCCAACCAGCACTCCACACTCCAGCTAGTCGTTTCCTTTAAATACATTATCATGACCTTATAAGGAAGAGAAAGTTGAAAAAAAGGTGATGCCATTATTCTGGTCCATTTTCCCAGCATGCTTTGTGCTGCAAAGTGGCTTGGTTGCCACTGAAAGGACTTTGCCCACATAAAGGGATATTCCAACACTGAGTAAGATGTTGCCAACTGCTTGTTTCTGTAGTTCACTTGGTGATCAACTCGTCAGGGCTCTCCCCACAAACAAGCGGCTGCTGGAGGAGAGTGGGTGAGTTGTGTTTGGTCTCTTTGCTAAAGAAATTAGGCAAAGTTAAAAAGATGTTTGGTGGCTAGTACTATGTCTGGGACCCTGTACTGTTGATGAAGTTAAGCCGGAATATACCTTTAAAGAGAATCTTATACACTGAATTTAATAGTTTCTAGTCATCCCTGGTTGAAGAAAATGCATTTTGGTTTAATTTTTAATTCACTTTATATCCCTATGATAATATTCTATTCTGTTTACGTTGATAAAACTTAAGTTTCAAAGAGGAATGAATGCATAGATTGGTGTAAGCCACTCTTGATCCTTGTCTATCAAGCACAGGTCTGCAGATTTGACTCACTAAGCAGCATGCAAATAAAAGCCCATGTAACCGCTAGACCATACATATTTATACTATGAATACAGTATCCTCTCTCTCACCATTTCTCCCTCTTTGTTAAACACACAAACACAGAGTGCAAAGCCAAAATTAGCCAGCCCATAATGATTGGGCGCTGGGATCCATGGGGCGAGCAGAGATCCGGATTGAACTCCATTAGCGCTGAACCGAGAGAACACCCAGCATGACTCTCACCTGCTCGCTTTGAGACTCCCCAAATAGGCCCACATCTCCAATTCCCTGATAAACATGCACACACACGCTCACAGAAGGCAAACACATACACACATACAGTAACCCTCAACTCTGACCTGACTAAGCTAACAGGATGTGTTGTGCATCTATAAACATGAATTCCATCGACGGAGAATAAACAGATACACATGGAAATGCATGCACAGCGCAGGGTGTAGCTTTGCATGTTATGTTCTAATGCTATCCTCTCAATCATGGCATTCAGGACACGAATGAAGCGTTTCTTACCCAAATGGAGAGGAAATGAAAATAGATTTGCTGTGAAGCTGGAGAGCTTTACTTCCTCTGGTAAAATGGTGGGCATTAATGAAAGTCAGGGAAAGCATCTCTATACACAGCTTACTGCCATAACAGATGGGGTGATGTTCTTAGTATGTGTGATCGAGGAGGAGGAAGAGGGAGAGACAAAGAGTGTCAGTGAAAGAAGAGGAGACACACAACTGTAGGAACCAAATCAAGCAGGAAACCAAATGAGTGGTAGCGGTCTTCTGGGAGGACCAGTCATTTGCATGGCATTTAGCTGAGAGGCAGTATGACAGCTAGCTGCTCCGCAACATGCTGTCAGACAACCAAAGCTGCATAAAAACAGCTTATTAACAGTGTTCAGACTTTTGTTATGGAATTCATAATATTGTCTGATCAGTGAAACAATGCACTTTTTGTCTTCCTGAACTATGGCAATCAAAGACTTAAAAGTGATGCATCTTGCAGAAAAATACAATACTTTGAGCCATTAATTTTAATTTTGGTACTAAGAGGGACCACAACAAGCTATACATCAAGATAATTACTTATAATCACCTGTACCATGAACCAAAAAGAGTTGCCCAGTCAAAACAACCAACAGATGAAGCAACTAAAGCTTATTATTAGAGGCTCATTTCTAATCACCCGATGATTCAAAGCTCCAGTGAGGAGTTTTCATCTGGTTATTTAACAGACTGAAATTGAATGAATCCTCATGATCTTATAAAGCAAACCAGTCCATAAAGATTTGCTCACGATATCCAAAACTACTGGCAGGTGGTGGATGTCAACCTATCAGTCACTTTTATATTTATATACACCCAAATCCCCATGAAATTTAATTGGCACTTGACACATAGAGTGTCAAGTACTCAGGTAAACATCGGGGCCTGGTCTCACCCTGTATGAATTCTAATTTGCATAACCACCTGTTCCCTATAAATGATACCACTGATTACTCTGCTACCAGATGAAGATGTTATCAAACAAGCACAAAATATTGATTTAGAGACCAAATAAGTGATTGAAATATGATTTATTTAAAAAAAAACATCCCTCTGATTTCAAGGTCAGAAATGCTTCATTGGTAACAGATTCTTATCAGCCTCCTCGCAGGATAGATTAACATTCAACTGAACTATTCCATCAGAGCTAGCATAGGTCAAGTCGATCTGCAGAAATATTTTAGTTGAAATTTTCATCCTTCCTCTCTGAGCTTTGCAGACACATTTATAAAATTTGGTATAACCACTGCTGATCTTGTTTAAGTTACTTTGCAGTGATCAGATTAAAGATGCACCGCTGCTGTTGCACAGATTGCAGGACAGGATTTTGCACCACTTTCCCAGATAGAGGGGAGATGTAATCCTAGTCCCCACACATCTGTACCCGGTAACTCATCACTTCCCAATGATGAAGGCCAGCTTTGAGCAAGGAATTTTTTTGTTTTCATTTTGGTACAGTGTCAACAGGTAAAGGTAAAATGTGTTTGGCTTTTTCCTACAGTTTAGTATGGCACATGTAATCCCTAGTCTCTAGAGTTTCTTTTGCAGTTTAGATTGAGGGAATTTGACAAGTCAGAATTAAGTATTCAATATAGCCAGGTAATTAAGAGAATAAAGATTATTCACCTTGTGTAAGGATTTGAGAACAGGCAGAAACCTCAAACAAAACTGGACTCATTTTCTGACAGCCATATGCCTTCACCAGCTACGTTAAGAAACAGAGACAAATATGCACATAAAAGTGACTGTGTGTGAGTCAGTACACTTAATTTCAGCTTCTGTAAAAGATGTAAAACTCTTCATAGATGTGAGGGGAAGTTCAGAGACAAGTGATGCAGACTTTGTTACTACAAGCAACTCCTTTCATCGCATGATGTCTTCTGATCCATTGTTAATTTTTAACAAGTAGATAAGTAGATGTCTAATGTTGATAAGAAGCAGAATTTTGTCTTTACAAAAGTTTAAATATAGCTTTAAAAATACATCAGTGTGGCTACATCAAGGGTCATGACACAGCTTCTTTTCAAGGCCATACTCTTAAGCTAAGCATGTGAGACCTATTTAACTGTAGCACCGTTCAATAATGAATAATTCACCATACAGTCCATGTATTCACACATAACCATCGCTCCCACGTTAATGACTGTCACTGTCACTCCATAAGCTTCACACTCCAATTCCCATTGCCTCCTATATATGTCTCAGCAGGCTGTTAGCAGTGATAAAGACAGAGTATCACTCAGCCGTCTTATCTCCAGTTCATCATCTTCTAATGCTTTGAATAAATCCAAAGTCATGAGGAGCGTGGGACTCCATTTTGTAAGTTATTCAATTAACTAATGAGAAACGTTGTCTTGTTAATAACTGATCGAGGATCGTCATTAAAGCATAATCTAACAGCCGCGTTACTCCCTCTTCACCCGTCCCCCTTAAACTGATCATTATACACCAAGTGGCACAGTCATTGTGGTACAGAGGCTTCCCGAAGTGTTTCATCAAGAATTTTCATCCGCGGCCAGATCAAATTGCAGGATTGTGATTGATGTCATTGGTGCGGAGAACAATCAGGGATCTCCCGATTTGTTACAAACCACCGTCAAGCCGTTTTAAAGTCTGCTTAATGATGTATATCCCCTTTTGTTTTGCATATTTATTTGATATTCATGAAGTGTCCAAGCACACTGACTTGACATGCGTCTCCATGGTGATAAATTATTGAGAGGTCTTTGCAGTGAGGCAGTTGAAAAGCAGCTCCATTAATAATGAACAAGTCTGTGTACTCTTATAATTGTGTTATTTTCCCTGGAAAGTTGTGTGCACCAGCTTTCAATCTCGCCTTTTGTTGGGTGGCTTTGATATGTGGACACCGGCCAGCACTTAGAAGCATGATTTTTAAATAGAGCCATTTGGTATAACTTTAAGACCTGATGGGGGTTTTTATCAAGTTCCTCTCATCAATATTTGTACGAACTAACACACTTTGCTTGAACAGCAGCTTGGCAAGCTGCCCCTTAAACTCCTTGCTTTGCATGTGCTTATCTTCTGCACAAAAAGGATGCACAATTCTTTCTTTTTGTTCTGACATTCTGGGCTTTTCTCCCCATCCAGATTACCCCCTTCGATCACATGCCAACCCTTGCCCTATTGTGAGGGTAAGCCCTAATGTTAAACCCTTGGAATAATTCTGCAGCAGAGAGACTTTGGATCACACTAGAGGTTATTATTTTTTTTTGTGAGGGTTCGCCGTGAAATACCGGTAGTTTCATCAGTTAGAAGTGTGGGCCCTGTTTTCAGCAGAGTGGCTCCAGCGCTGGTTCTGTGAGAGGATTGGAGAGGACATGTGTAATGTGTGTGAAAGGATGTCCTGTTGAGTGAGAGCCAGCCTCATCTGTGCCAGCTCCCTACCTCTCCCCCTTTCTCTCTCTGTTTCTGCCACTCTGTCGCTCTTTCCTTCACTCTCTGCCTCTCTCATGTCTTCCTGAACCCCATTTCATTCTAAAACACACACTCTATGCCCAATGTCTCACTCAAGTGCAAACACACACCCACACAATCTGTCTCCCTGCTTCTGTCTCTCTCTCCATACCCTCTTTTCTCTCATCCTCAGTCAATTATACAGATGTCTAATGCTTTCTCCCTGCTGTAGGGAGCGGACAGAGCATCTATCATCCTCAGAGGGGGGTGCAGGGGATGTGGTAGGGGGATACGAGCCCCATACTTTTGCTCTGCTGCAGAACACTCATTCCTCTGGGCTGGAAGGACGCCAGTCAACTGGGGATCAAGCCTTGGCCCTCAGCCCGGCAGCAGGCTTCCACAGCTCCCTCCCTCCACTGCCAGATCTGGGCCACTTCCATGTGGGCCAGCAGCAGCAGGCAGGATTTTTTTTCTTTTTGCCGGTATCTAATCTGTTGTTTGTTCTTGCGAGTTGTTGTCAATGAACAGAGGAGGATGTTGAGGAGGAAGTAGAGGGGAGAAAACATGCTGGTATCAGAGATACCAGCAGAGCCTCCGTGGCCCTAAAGGTGATGTTTGCCAATCAGATTTTGGAGGATTGAATCAGTCGGATAAGACATACAGACCACTAACCGCACAGTGGGGGTGTGCATGCTCTAGACTTCTGTAAGGCCATGATACCATAATACTTTAACATGGTTCTTTTAGACAGTTGGGGTTTTCTATTATACCAACCAAACAGGTTAGAAAGGGGCAGCCACTATCCTCGTCTCCCCTCTGCAAACACGCTGAGATAGAGCAAACCGCAGGGTGAGTTCAGGCCAGCCAACAAGAGACCGGAAAGCTTTTTCTCAAACAACATGCAATTTCTCTGCTGAAAACCAGAAGAAGCAAAATGCAAGCAAAGAGAAAAAAAAAGGGAAAGAATTTCACCTCATCAATATCTCAGGCAAGTCACAGGAGGTAAGAGAGGTAAGGGTGAGTTCATAATCAGAGCCGACTCAATATTTCATCACTTTGCAGATCCATTTCAGCTCAGCTTGGACAGTTTTGCTGACTGGAAATTCATGCTAAAAGACTTTTGAGGGGAGCATTCAGCAGCAAAATTCTTACAGTCAAAACAACGTTGGCCTCTGGGGGCCTGTGATGCTTTACAGGAATGTTTTTGTGTGTGCTGCATAGCGTGGAATCAAATAGACCAGGAAACAGAACTTATTAACAAATAAATAATGCAGCATTAAAAAGCTTTGCAGGTTGTATTAACTGTCAAGATATATTAGGTTCACATCTGCAAGAAATACTGACTTGCCCAACTTTCTTGCTAATCACCCAGCTCAGCTGAATACTCAGCTCTGATCGGTCAAAGCCCATAATATGATTAATTCTTAAAAGAGAGCGCTGTGCCAGGAACAACCAGATCGTACATGTCATAATCAATCCATCCTTTGAAAGGACTCCAGCATATTTCATTAATCTGTGAAAAAACATTACTTAATCTCAGCATGGTGGATATTTTTTATTCCATTCTCGTTTTATTTGGGAAGTGCAAATTACTAGAAATGTGATGAATGGCTGACCAGCACAGAAATAATGATGAGAAGTGTTAGAGAGAAAACTAGTGAGAGATGTTTAAACGAATGTGGAGATGAGTGAAAGGGACATTGATCAAATTGAAGAAAACAGGCATGAAACAAACACGAACTGAAGTGCAGTATGTGAACAATAAAGTGTTAAAGTCCCACTCCGATTGTTTTTTTTTTTAATACTTAAAGTGTTATCAGTGGTCTTAAATTGTGATTATGAAGTTTTTAGCCAAAATCATGTTACCTGTGTCGTTTTCAAGGTCTTTTCTTCTGCAGAGCTCAAGTAGCTCAATAGCAATTCGCCTCTGAGTCGTGGGCGGATACAGCGCTGCTCTGCACACTTCTCCTTGTGTTAGCTTGCAGCCTTATATTGCAGGTGTAGCAGAAGAAACAGGTAACATAGGAGCTCTTCAGCTCTTGGACACTATTCTCTTTAGGGGCATGATGAAAGCTAATATCATAATTAGCTTTCTTACAAGCATTTCAATCCGCTAACGTAGACTCTTGTTCCAACTTCTTCCTCGCCCTATTTCTCTGAGCCTGGCCTGCATAGTGGGGCTCCAGGGGTGGAGCTTGGATTGGTTACATAGGAAATCTCACTGTATCTGATCTTGCCGTTTGGGTCTGCCAGAGATTCATAGTGATTTGAATGAAAAAATACTTGGTCTCTCGAATCAGAAAAATGCCATATGAACATGTAGACAACAAGAAAAACACGAATTTCATTGGAGTGGGTTTTTAAGAGAGTGAAAGATTGCAGATTTAAACACTTTTGATTTCCTTTGGATCAATTGAATTAGTTTGAAAACAGAAAACATTTTGATTAATTGACTTTCTGTTAATGAAAAATTTTGTCTAAAGAGTCTTTTAGTCTAAAGACTAAATCTAAGCTACCAAAATTAATGCAGATAGTGAGCAAGCGGTTATGGAAATCATAGTGAGTCAGGCCCCGCCTCCTTTTCATGGATGTATTTTACAAATTTACTGCCAAAAAAACGTCATTGTATTTGGGCCTGATAAATAAAAAGTGACCTGTTAGTTGACAATAAAGGAGTTTATAATTCCCTTCATAATCCCCTCGGGGTGGATGGACTCTTTGCTTTACATGGGGTTCTCGTCTCAGGTTTCTATTTTGCATAAACACCCACTCACTATATATTATTCCTTACTTACACATTCATTTAGAGGCAAATTCAACTTCCTACTAAGCAACTAAACTATATAAGAATCCTTTAATGCATGAGCTCTCTGTATACACCACAACTTTGATAAGAGCGGGTACTCCACATTCTGAGGGGTCAAAGGTTAACAAGTGAAACTGGATTCTGTGCCTGTGTCTGTGTGGGTGAATAGGAGTGTGTAATCAATACACACACACACAGTTACCATGGCCTGTTGGAAACATTCCTGCCTCGGGGTGAGTAAAGAAGCAAAACTACACAGTGTAAAGGTGGGAGAGGGGTTGTGTGGTCGATAGTGATATGTGATCGTGGTGGTGCGGTGGTGGTGTTGAGGAAGACGAGGCTGGAGGTGGATACAAGCCCTGAAATAAGAGTGAAATAATGATCCTGGCATCCCTGCAGTTCAGGTACACCATAACCTCTGCCTGCGTGTACACATCTGTGTGTGTGTGTGTTTGTGTTTTTATGAGTGTGTGAGCGTGTGCTCACAGGCACTGCAACAACAGCGCCGAAAGTGGAGAAAGGAGGGAGAAGTGGGGGGGTTGGCAATTCCCAGCTGCCAGCCTGACCTGCAGGTTAGCTGCTGTACTTCTGCCTGACCGGCTGTAAAATTAGGAGCAAACAAGGTGCTCTTTAAAAACAAGGGCTAGCATCCAAAGCGGTGTCTCTCTGGGGTAAATAATTCATATTAAAAACATCACTCACAAAAGCACTAAAAATACGCCCTGGGCTCTGAAGACTCAATGATGTGCCAAGCCTAGGAAGCCTTGAATAAAAAGCACACATCGGTAAGAGGGAACGCCGAATCCTCTCACTTTGAGGTGTGTTGGTATAATCCTGAACCTTAAACTAATCCTCCTGTTCTGGAAATAAGTGCACTTATAATGTGGTTGAATTTCCTTCTCTTTTATCACTCATGATTGGATATACTCTTGATATATTCCTAACCAAAGCGGGTCACTGAGCTTGGAGTGACTCTATTTCTCAATGAGTCACACTAAAATTATTATTTCTTTTTTTTCCACAAAGCAGCGTGCCTTTTCAATCTCATTTTAAACAGATGCCACAGGCTTTGCTGTGCACCGAAGAAATAGAGCAGGCTCTTATTTTCCCTCTGAAGAACATACTCAGAGAAAAAGTGACAGAGGGGAAATGTTGATCTCACAACAATCCCTCTTTGTGTATAAAACAGCTTTACTACTTGCAAATGGATGAGGTTTGAATCAGCAGAATGTTCAGAGAACAATTGCAGGAAGGTAATGGAACTTTTGAAAGTCCAAATATGAATCAGGCATGAAAACAGAGAGCACACATCTCCATTTATCCTGTTTAGAGGACATGAGTTAGTGTTATACTTTAACAAATGCTATATGTAGCTATCAGTGCCTCAGTGAAATAGGTCAATAGATTGTGTGTGTGCGTCTAATCTCAGATCAGATGGTGTTCTCATCCAGGGCTATTAATGTGCTGATCCACTAATTGGGAGAGCTTGCTCTCTTAATGCAATGGCCTTCTAAATGTGTCCGTCCCAGTAATTTAATAATGGCCATTTCATGCTACTCTGACTTTTCAAACAGCTTGCTCGGGGCAGCTACAGGGACCGGTTATTGATTGAAACTCTGAGGCAGCCTGGGCTTGGCTGTGGGTGAGAGAGGCTGATCAGTCTGCTTCCCAGAGTCCAGATGCAACCACAACACCCCCCACCCTCCCCTCGCCTTTTTTTCCCCTCCTCTCCACATGCTACTCATAAACACACAAACATGAGACATAGACACACAAAGAGCAAGTGCATACTCGCTCATAAATTTGTGCTTTCCACTGAGATCTACTGCAGCATGCAGGCACGATCCACTGACCACAGAAGGGAGCTTTAAAGGGGGAAACAAAGAAGTGGAAAAATGTCACAGAAGTCTGAAATAAAGACATGGGACCTCTTCAACAGCTCTCTTAGTCTCTCACCTCAGTGCACTGCTCTGTGTACAGTCACTAGGACCTGCGCTGGAGCCTGTGTCTGAGGAGTAATGAGGAGCGGGCCGAGGAGGAGAGATAAGAGGAAGAGTGATGGGGGTCAGGCTGCAGCGTTGCTGGCAGCCCTCATGGACCTCACACACCCTCCTCCTTCTCCTCCTCCTCCTCCTCCTTCTCCTCCGACAGGCTGTCCAGGACTCTGTTTGTTTGCACAAGGTGATAAATAATTTGGCCTGAGCTGACATGGATTAATGTGGCCCTTAGCCTCCTTTTCCCTCCCTCCGCATTTGGTCGCACAAATGTTTGGCCCCTGAGTCCAGCTGTCTCTTAATGGCCGGAATACATGCAGGTCTTATCAGCCTTTCAAAGCGAGGGACCCAGGCTATCATGGATCTTAAGGATGCTTTCTTATATTTAGAGCAGAGCCCTGGACGTGTTCCCCTGTGGCGTTCGCGAGAATACAGAGTTTTGCTGCTCCCAGAGTGCACCTTGAAATGTTTTCTTCTCCAATTAGAAACATTTGGAACATTAAGATTTGAGGTTTTTTTTCAACAGGCAGAAGAAATCATTTAAATAGAAAGAAATAAAACCAAAGGAAAACAATCAGAGTAAAAAACCCACATAGGGAATACTGATTAATGTGATGAGCATAAACTTTAAGGCTTTCTAGAGCTGCAATTTATCGTAAAAGTAAAAGTAATTGCACATTATGACCACGATTTGCATGTGCAACTGGAGTCATCAACACACCACAATGACCAAATCAGATTGTGAGTCTGATTAAACATTTGCTGCACTTGCATCATAATCACACACCCTTAAAGCATGATGACAGTGAGCAGGTGACATTAAGACTAAGAGCTGTTGTGCATGCTAATCAGACTCGTAATTATAAGTACTTGAAATAATTGAACTGTGCACTCAGAGCCTCGGCTTTGTATGCTATAAATGTCGCACATTTGGCCTCATTTTGTAGAAACTTCTTTCTCACTTTGGGGCAGGAATGATGACAACTCCTCCGCGCTGTAAAACACCAACACACTAGTCCTCCCAACTAACTTATCTTACCCCGCTCAGCAAGTTAAAAGGTGTTTTCTCGTCTTCTCTCTCCACTTTTTTGTCTCTAGCAGGGTGTTTCTCCTCAAACTACATTATTAGACGCTCTTTAAAATATCTAAGATGTTTCTTGTTTCAATAATTAAACAGTGTACAGCTAAGGGCTCTCGTTCTAACTCTTAATGTGCATGCCCTATGGCCTTTATCTTTGATCTTTCAGGCTACACAGTGTGCTTTTGCATAATTTTAACTCTAACTAGAAACACTCAAGCTGCCATATCCTTCCTCTCTTATTCTCGCTCTCTCTCTAGTACATTAAGTGGGATGTTTTTGCTGTTCACTTGTTAGAGACGTACCATGCTGTGAGTTCATGTATGATGCACCATGATGGATTCATACACTGACTCTGCATGTACATAAATAGTTACAGTATTTGCATACTGAGTAGGACGGTGTCTATGACTGTTGCTGAGGACAGTTTGTTCTTCTGTGTTTCATGTTGAGGACTGTGTGTGTGTGTGTCCGTGTGCATGCCTGTGTGATTTTTCTTTCTCGGGGGGTTCCAGTTCAGACCCTGCAGTGCTCCATCATCTTCAGAGCAGACCCCTGCAGGTGTGGGTCACAGCCCCCCACACCATGAAACACTCTTCATCAGATTCTTGCAAAACTACAGACACACAGACAGCTCACCCAATCTCAAACTCTTTACACATATACACCAAGCAGAAACCTCCAATGTTGGAAAACAAATCAGAGCAGAAAGGTGGTATTTGTGAAAATACATACGCTAAACCTATAATTCCATGTAGGTAATTAAAATATATAGGTCATGTAATGCATAAATCGAGACGTCAAATCCAACAAAAATGAGCAGAAGTTGAAGTTTTAGTTTTCAGAAGGAGAATTTGTTCATAACCTGTCCATATTTGAAGTATTACAACTAACACTATCCACACACACTCACATATCCTACAGGTTTGCATATGTTAAACAATAAATCCACTGGGGCAGAGGTTCCCAACCTCTTTCCCTCTGGCACCACCACCCCTCTCTGTGATCTTTTTTTGCCTCAGTCCTGCCTAAATAGGAACAGAAAAGTTGCTAGTCCCTCTAGATCATGGTTATATGTTGTTTGCTCTTAGCATGGTCCAGTTTTAACCTGAATTTATGGATGTAACAACTGATGATGTACATGTGATTTTAAGCCAATGCAGAGATTTCCACTGCAGGGTTATATCTATATTTGCCAATCAGTATCAGTTACCAGCCTTGTCTTTTTCGAAGAGATTTCTCTAGATTCTTCTAATCTTGATGTACCATAGAAGATAAAATCCCGATATTCTTTGCAATTTTATGCTGAGTGTCATTATTCAGAAATTGCTGGATCATTTCTTGAACCGGTCTTGGACAGAGTGGTGAACCTCTTCCCATCCTTACCTCTTAGAAATTGTCTCTCTGGATGCCCCTTTTCTACTTAATTTTTTTTTTTTAAATTTGGGCTTTCTGTGTTTTGTAAATAATCTTACCAAAGACAGTCAGGCTCACTGTAGATTCTTGCCAGGAGACCCAATGCCAGTCTCAACCAATATTTTAAAGACCGCAACCATTAATAGGCTTTGTATAACATCACTGAGACTGTCTATGTTTTGCAGTCTGTGATACACACACACAGTTTGTTCTATTAAGGACCAGGGGCAAGATCTACAACACTTGTTTCCTCTTCAACGAACAAAAACAGACCTTGATTTGCCCTTAATCAAGATTTTGCATATTAACATTATTATTAACCTTTTTGGTCTTTAAATTTGCCAGTGATAAAAAAGACTGTAATAAAAAACAGGTATTTTACTGAAATGGTCACACACTGGTCTGCATGTCCCTGCAGCCATGGTTTTGCACATTATACACAAACACTCCGCCATTGCTTTTTATAGCAGCATTTTTATCTGTCTTTGATACATTACATTCATAATATTTGCACCTGTAAACCATCACCAGCAGTCATAACAGCCTTCAATGAGGCAATCAGAAATGATTTAGTTTAAAGCACATGTATCAAAACAGATCTGCGTAGGTTTTTATGATGTATTAAATAATGGGAGCATAAACACATGAAAACAAGATGATCAAACACAGGAAAACAATAACAGACTGCATTTAAAGAGTTATAAAGCTGCGCGTGGAGAGCCAATTAAAACCACATTTATCATTTTAGCGTTAATCAATCATTGTAATTAGCATACACATGTACCATATGATGTTATTTGACAAAAAAGCCTTCAAAGTTCTGTTTATATGTGAGTAAATTTAAGCTTTTTGAAGTTTTAAATAGGAGTGATATGCTTTGCAAGGAATGAAGACATCATAACTTCATATCGATATTAAAAAAAGGCATTTTTCATCAGGAATCACATTTGTGAAGGACAAAAAAATTAAAGAGATGACAGGTATCAATTTTTCCATTTGGGGCACCAAAACTGACACAAACAGAAACGTCACTCACTGGAGCTTTAAACCCATTCCACCATTTGTTGAAAATCGGTTTCTTATTCTGAAATTCTTGCGCTTAGTTGTAAATTTGCCACCAGTTTTTCTCCCTTGAATGTGTATTTCTCTCTCTAATGTCAGGTGTTGTTTTACAGCATTAGCTTAAGTGCCCCATGACATCATTGTTTGCTTCCAGGATTAAGCACACTGTAATTAACATTAAGTAGCCCCCCTGTCTTCACCTTTCTCCCCTAACCCCTGCCTCTGTCCATCTGTGTCTGAATCTCCCTTTTTTCCTTTCTCTGTTTCTTTCAGTCTCCGTATATTGACTGCGAACTGGCTGTAGCTCTGAACAGCAGGCCCACACAGACCAAAGCACAAGCGATGCTGGATTAGTCTGTTGAATTATTCAAAACCGAATTCCCTATTGAAATGTGTAAAAGGTCCCTTGCTGGGTTTAAAAACAGAGAGTACAGTTGGAGCTGACAACAAAAGGTTCAACTTCAAAAAAAAAAAAAAAAAAAAAAAAAGGCCCCCATCACTTTACCTCATTTGCATTTGTTATTCATTTTAACATCACACTTTTGTTCTGACTTTGTGGTGAAATTTTTAATCAGGTTTAAAAAGCACTGATTTTCTGGGGGTCTTCTGTTGTGGACTGGTTTGACACACAAAGCAAAACAATTAACACCACAGGGTGCTCAAAGAAGTCTATTTTTGGACACTTTTTTCCCCCCAAGTTTCTAACAAGATGCTGATGGTAGAATCTTGTTAAAGTAAACATGCAAGGCCTCGCCATGTTTCATAATGTGATGCAAGACTGAGCCAATGTTTCCTAAATAACTGTTAAGTGTAGACGGCGTTCATTCAGCACTACAAAACAAAGCAAAAACATCTTTTGGATATAATTAAATGTAAAAGAAGAAAGAAATACAGAGAAGCTGTGTGCCAAATTTAACATGCTACACATTTGTGGAACACTGACAATGAAAGTCAGAAATAATTTCAACAATAATTTAGTAGTCAAAGTTTTTAATTTCACCACATATCATATCCTTTTTAGATGTATTGAAAAGGGACTACATGGAAATTCTGGACTCAGCTTGTGTTAACACCATTTTCCAAGTGTAAATACTTAGCACTGATGGCTTTACACTGTAGAGTTCGACACTGCTGAGGGCTTTATCCTCCATTATGAGGGAACAGTGCAGCACCTGCGAACATACGTCCCCACAGGAAAACTAAATCCACTAGACCAACAGCACAACCCAACTACTGTATGAAACAGTCCACCCCAGAGAGGTGCTTTTGTGTAAGTGTGTGTGTGTGTGTGTGTGTGTGTGTGTGAATGCTCTATAGGGGTGAAGGGAAGGTGGTGTATCTTGATGGAGGAGAAGGGATGGAGGCAGTACTTCAAAGCAGACAGAATGAGCAATGCTATTTATGTGTATCAATATATGTGGAGTTTCCCCATTGAGCTTTCCTTACACTACCTGCCCACTGGCCTGCATGTTTCTTTATCTCTCTCTTGCCTGGCGTGTATCACAGAAAGGGGGGAAGAGACAGATGTATTAACATTTTAGCTTCTCTTTCTACGGTAAGTACATAAAAAAAAATCCCTGAATTTATGTGGCAGATCCTCAGGTGTCTCCTGCATACCTATGAGACTGCAAACCTGTGCAGCGCACACAGACTATATGTCCTGTTATGCCCTAAGAACGGCAGACATTGCAAGTCATTTGTTAGCATGGAAATATGTAAAGGGGGTAAATATGGATTTATGTCGAAGAGCGGCCGCACCATCAAAGCATCACACTCCGATGCCAGTGGTGGAGTTCAATAAGCTGGAGAGATGAAAGCTAATGAAAGGCAAACACGAGAAGGCTGTTGGAGAGAGGGAGTGGGTGGGTGAGTGAGGGACGGAGGGAGGGTGCGAGCGAGTGAGCGAGCAGGGGAGGAATACAGACGACGGGAGATGTTGTCTGGTGTGGTCCAATCAAGCCACAGGATATAACAGTAGTCAATACAGGGAGATGAAAAGGATCTCGATATGGAGGCTGTGTGGTCTGACAGAGGACTGCGTGCGTGTGTGAGCCTTTGTGAATGGGTGCATGGGTGCCAATGGGCTATACGTTGGTGCCAATCTTGCCCGTGCATTTCTATAGTGTAGAGCTATCATAAAAATCATTCCCAATGCCCTGTCTGCTGCACATTATAGATGCTTCCTGCAGAGTCCCATGGGTGCAGTACACTATGTTCCAATCAAGCCGCCTTAGATCATACCTATCTGCTCAACAGCAGTCTGGCATGACTGTGTTTGCAAATCAGCCAGACATGAGGGAACACAGTGCAAGAACAGACTCATATGAACAATTTGATTAGCATATTGCCATTACTTCTCAGTCTTTATTGAAGGTAGCATGCTGCGTGATTGCACACCTCCTTCAGAGACTTTCATCCTGTGCATTAAAGCTACGGCGCAGTGTGAGTCATGTGTTGTGCCGATAAGGACAGGCCTGGGATACAAAGTAGCCCGCTGTTAAAGTTGTGGTGTTTTTGTGAGTGAATAATGCATGTATTTCGGTCTTAGCTGAGCTAATAGCACACAAGCACTCATTAGCTATTTCTGGCTAAGTTTCAGGATTTGGCCCATAAGCCCTTAAGTGGACTTGTCACTGACAAGACAAATCCACCCTCCAGTTCGCTGCTGAAAGAGCCTCACGGCTTTTAGATGCGTACACTTGAAATACAAAAAAAAATAAATGGCCAAATAAACCATCTACACCACACTTTTTCTTCCTGTATAGGTCTCTGTTTAGTGTATCCGAAAGCCAAGGGAATGAAAATGTGGATCGCATTTGGCAACTCTTAAAGTCTGCAATTCTCACACTCAAATGAGGTAACTCGCCATATATCACCTCTCTTACGCCTACACTGTTGTGAACTGCTGATTGTGTAAAATGGGTTCTGGGGCTAGGGGAGCACAGTTAAGACAACACCTGTGGAGAAACAATGGTGGCTTGTCTGAAAGGGAAAAAAAACAGACATCAACTCAACGCAATATTCGTTTATTCTTATTATTCTATCAGGTGCGTATGTGCTTTGTGCTGCATTTGGGAGAGCTTAGTGGCAATTTTTATATTCCACTGCTGACCCGTGAAGTGCTCCGGTATTGGCTTGGGAATTTGTTTTTCCCTGAATGGACAATTTAAAGCGATAAGATGACCAAAAAGGTGAATGTTAGGTCAGCTTAGGTTTGGTTAGACACAGTTGTGTAGACACGCTGATGCTGAATTCACCATAGAGAGAAGTGTAAATTTAGCCTATCATTAAAAAGCTTCTTTTTTATCCAATTAATTTCTCCTCCTCAAGGGTCAGTGTGACTTTACCATGAAATATTGAGCCGATCTCTTCAAAATGAAAGATGGCTGAAATTAGGTGCAAGGGTAAAACACCTATGTAAAAAAATGTTTGCGGTTAATAACGTTTGCATTAATAAAAACAAGCAATATTTGCATGTTTAACAGAAAAACAGAAACAAGGCACTATTAGTCAGATCACACACCATCATTGTTATGGATGATGGCGTCATATATTTGACTTAAGCTGGACTAAGAGTTCAGATCAGGTTGACTCAGACGATTCAGTAAGCAGTATAAAATTGACAGCTGAGTCCCTGTGAGTCATAGCGCTGCTGTTCTCTAATTGGGCAGATCAGATCATCTCAGCCTATTAATGTATAACTAATTACCTGACCAGAGGTATTACTGCTACAAGTTTGCAGGTAAGCTTCTCTGCCAGGGTCACTGCCTCAGCAGAAGTCCTCCTCTCCTCTCATTACTACGGTAATGAAGTTATGCTTTCTCTTTTTTCCTCCCTCTGTTGTATCTCTTGTCCTACTTGTCTGGAGCTGGGTCAGTGAGCTGCTGTGGAGATCTGTGAAATGTCTCTGCTTGTCATGGCTTTTTTTATTTAAGAGGAGACTCAGGGGCTGGGAAATGAAGCCAAAGTGGGAATGCCAAAAACTCCAGTTCCTTGAGTGGCCACATGAGGGTGTCTCTAAAGTGAGTAGACAGTATAA